ATGCTTCAAATAAGCGAAGAAGCGACGAGTGGAAGACAAAAAAAAAAACAAAAAATGGCTAATGTGAAAAGTTATTATTGCAACAATCTTTAGAATTTTAAAGTAAAGTAACAGCAAAGTTTTAAGAATCCATGATAAACTCGGTTTTTGCAAGTATTTTTTTTTTTCTTGCAATTCTTCTTTGTTTTTCCTTTTGCGTTTGTTGTCCTTTGTTTCGTCTGAAGTCTCTTCACAGATCTCATTTTTGTTATGGTTATAGTGTAATTTTGTTTTCTTTTTTTTATCACCGCTTTCTTCTTAACTTTAAGTTTTCTCTTTACTTATCAAAGCTTTTCTTAATTGGTTTTTTCTGAATTTGAATCGCTTTATTTTTTTGGTTACTGGGACTGTCCTCAATCAGTTCTACCACTCGCTTCCCTATTGTATCAGGGTACTTTGCCAATAAACTCTATAGAGTTATACCACCAAAAAAAGCGGTAACAAGAATGAAATTAAAAACTGGCAAAAGAAATGTGATTGATGCCATAAACAGTGAAGATTCAATCTTTTCAGAAAGAAATATGGTAATATTTCAAAGTTTTCAATAATAGACCAAGGAAAAAACCGTAATTATTATTTTTTACCTTCAACGGTTAATGCATATTAGGCACCGAACAAATTAACTTTTGCAAGTTTTTATTTAGTAAATTTGGACAACTGTTAACAGCTACAAAACACATAAATTTTTGTCGAACAAAAGTGTAAGGACAGGCGTAAGGAGCGTAAGGACAGGATATTTTTTGTATCTGTTTAAACAACTGAAGTTTTTCTGTGAAGTTATTACTACTGCAAGTTTAAAAAGCGTAAAAAATGAAAAAGCAAAGGATTTTTATGTGAGAGCTTTTGGAATAAAGAACTGTTGATAAAAGCGGGGCAAGTTTTTTTTTGGAGGATAATTTACGAGAAAACATATAGCTTACTGAAAAAGTTTGGGTCATCAAGTGAGCTTTTCACTTTTCTATTTTTTTTTGTTTACCGTATGCTAGATACTATTGCTGGTAGTGTTTTCTTGAGAAAACAGTTTCTCTGTACTTTTAGGTCTTACGCACGTCAAAATGGATTAGCCAACCGTTTTTTGGCAACTTGTTGTATAGCCAACTATCTTGTTTTAGTCAGAAAGCCGTTATAAAGCGTGAAATATAATGAAGAATGGTGCTTGACGTGCGTACTTCAGAGATGCGTGTATGTTTTTGTGATTTTGAATGACGTTCAGAAAGTTACGAGAAAACCTACTCACTAAGAAGTTAATAATTAGCGTAATTTAAATGTAAAATTTTGCATTCTGCTGTAGTTTCTTGTTAACTGAACCAATTTATGTAACTTAAACGCTTAGAAGACCGATGCGTCTTTATCCGTCAATTTGACCTCTGTTCTTACTGCTATTTCTCTATTTTAATAACGATGTAATGCTTGGAACGGAGTTTACTTGCAAGCACTTAGCAAATGTTTTACTTTTCACCTCAATTTTGTAGACAGCGGACGAGGTCAGTTTCTGTCTAAATTTTAGGAGAAGTATTAAAGGTCACTGTTTTTGTCGTGACCAGAGTAAGCTCTATATTTCTGGCTAGCTTTTCTGTGATAAAAGATTTCTCAATTTTACTATCTGATAGCGCAGCTATAGCTTCTTCTGGTTGATGTGGATGATGATCAGGGTTATTCACTTTGATTTCAATCAAGAATAGCAGAGTTTCCTTTGGTTTTTGCTTTCTTGCTTTTTTATATTTTTTTACCTTCTCCGCCACCGTGCTGTTATACGTGACGACTACAGCGTGATAAAACAATCTGGTTTTATCGCCAGACATTTTGCTGACATGTTTGAGAGTCAACTTAGTATCAGAAATGTCGTGACAATTCACACCACTCAGTCAATCATAAAAGCCTGTACAGCTGTAAGTCTCGCTACTATAGCATCTGACAAATCGTAAAAGATTATACGGCAAGAGTTCATTAAACTGACTTCTACGCAGGCGACTCTAAAATACAGGATTAATCACTCGTGTTTCTCAATTTTTTTTCGGCATCGCCGGCGATTTTATTTTTATCTCCAGTTTATTTCATTACTGCATGCTTGGGTCTTGTGCTCTTATTTGATCTAGTGATTCTTGTTCGTACATAACTGAGGTGATATTGTGAGCTTTAATACCTACACAGGTTTGAAGATTCATATGATTAGGTGCTGTAAATCCAGTTTTCAGACAACAGCTCAGAATTTCAATTAATGTTGAGGTTTCAAGCCTACTGAAGAGAAAGGAAAGCTGAGTATGTCGAAGTAGACTCACCATAGCACAAAAAAAAGAGATTTTGAGGAAAACGTTGTTTTACAGTGCTGTTTCTGGTGACAATGAATACGCCTTTTTGCTCATTGCTGTTGGCACCAAATGTTACGTTTACACTATCTCTTTTGAAGTAGCAAATGACAGTGTTTTACTTCATTATAAGTATAATATTATAAAATAATTTTAAAAGCTTCAAGGAGTGACAGTCACAAAAAAAATGTGAAACTGATAACAAAATACACTCCTAAATGTGTTGCATATGAGAAAAAGAACAAGATAAAACGTGATGCAAGTGTTCTACACGAAGCAAAAAATTCAATTCTACTTAGTCGCAATAGAAGGACCAATTTCGCCACCACTATAGCCTTGCTTCTACATTTTTTGCTGTATCTTTTTCACTTTATTTTCCATTGTCTTCCTTCCTTACGGAATTGATTTTTGCTACTTATTAATTCTTTCAAGGCAGTCATCTGTCGAAAATCAGTTGAATTAAGGAAAGAAATTCAGCACGCAGATTCGGTTCTTTTAGTAGACTACAGTAAGGTAAAAATTTAAGCCAAATAACCTATAGAGCAAATGGTTTATATTCATTCATAACCACCAAAAACCAAAGTTTTCTTTTCAATTAGAGCTTTGACTTCCGAATTTAAATTCATTCAAAACTCCGAACTAAACTAGAGCAATTTCAGCAGTTTTCAAGTCACTCAGCGCTTAAAAGTAGTTTAAGATTATTTCTTGTTGTTATATTAATTTTTAATTCGGTAGTGTTTTTTCCCAGTTGAACTTTTCACGTAAAGATGATTTTCAAGACTGATTCTGCAAAAAAAACCATGTTTTTTCTTCAAATTTTATCATTTTCTACAGTCTACTCTTTCTCTTTTTGCTCTATTTTCAAAAAAAGGTGGGAAAACAAGATGGTAAATCAGCAGGTTGCATTTTTGGTACAGTATATGGATGTGATACACAGTATTTCTGACTTGCTGGTATTAATTAGAGGCTTCTGCTCACTGTTCTATTATGCGGCCAATACAACTCGTCAAGAACTCGTGGAAAACAAGTAAATAGTAGCAGAACTAGGACTGACGGTTTACAAGCGTGTCTCTAAGTGGGGAAGAAAATTAATGTGGTTCAATTTTTTGAAACCCATTCTTCACACAGAAGGTACTGACTAGAAAACAAAAATTAAAAGATTTCGTCTTATTGCTGACATACTTTCTCAAGCCAATTTTTTCTCATTTCTTTATGAGTTTATTTAGACTCTTCAATTCCTTGATTTTTTTTCTATTATTCTCTTCCGCGCAAATGGGAAATGCAGCAGCATTTTTATTCTGTGAAGCTTTTTTAACTTACCGATAGATTTTGCAGAAGTTACAAAAGAGCACAAACTAGTACTGACGCCTACAGACATTTCATCGAGAAATGGACAACACGAAGGCGAAATCACAGGTATTGATGTTTCAATTAAACTCTTCTCTCGTTTTAAAAAATTCTGCCACAAAAAAATCGAAATAATTTGGTTGGCATTTTAGAACCACTTTTGAAAAATTAAAAGCTTATTGCTTCAAGAGACATATATGCGAAAAAAGTGGTGAACATTCAGGCTCACAACTCCTTTTTCTTTTGAAATAAAAGTAGCAAAGCATACGGTAGCAATTACAGCATATCAAAACGTATTACTATTGAAGAAACTACTTGATGACTGTTTTATAAGAAATCTCTACTTGCTACAGTAGAAGATGTAATTAAGAACCAAGGTTTTAAGGGAAAGTAAAATTCGAACAGCTCTTTTTTTCATGCATGTGGCAACGGGGACGTCAATGCGGCATTAAAATTAGCGGGAAATGAAGCAGAAGTGTAGAAAATTTGCAAAGCAAGTGCTGCTTGAAATAGTACAGGGTTACCCTAGAGCATCTTTAACCAAAAACTTTCGTGAATCAAAAAAAAAAAAGATATTCAATAGGCAAAGAGCAGATCAGAAATTCAAAGGTGCCGAAGGTAAGCTCTATTACAAACCTTCAATCATAAAATCACAGTTAAAAATGCGCAAGCAAGACTGATAAATTTAATGTGCCAGTCTAATAATTTAAAAACCAATTTAGTGTTTTCTGACAAAATTTATGAACAAAGTGGTCACAACTTTGATTTATCTAAAAAAGCAGAAAGTAAAAGCATTGAATAAAAACAGTGACTGAAAGCCGAGACCTGGAGACTTTCAGTAATGTTTTTCTAGTGAACCAAAAAGTTTTCGCAATCACGCACTAAAATTCGAAAAACTTTTTTATCCAACATATTGAACAGCTTGGGCTTACTGCTGTTGCAAACGAAACATACATTTGATGAAATTACGCAATAAGTCAAAAACACAAACTTCTATTAACTTGAAAACCGGTGTCCAAGGTACGTAAAACACAAGCTCAAAGAAGTTAACAAAATGCCTTTACGAGGAGCAAAAAAACAACTCGAAAAACTCTCCCAGATACATACTAAAAGACAGCAAAGTTAAAAAAGCAACTTTATTCAATTAAAAAAGGAAAGGTGAGATAAACTTTGGAGACCTTTATAATCTTATTTTCTAAGAAAACGTATTGGTAATTCTGTTCTGCAATCTCAGCTTTCAAAAATGCACTACCTTTGCTAATAGGTTCTTGCCACAGCCAAAAGAACTATCAAAAAAGTACAGAAAGCATGAGAAAACAAGTAATACTTTACATTCCACTAAGAAAAAATTTAGTGATTCAACACGTAAGAAGCATCCCTCGAGAATTAGAAAAACTCCCAGGGAAGCCTAAAAATGTTGAAGCGATCGTACTTTTCATTTTAGTATACCACACTACGCAGCGCAGCTTTTAAGGGTCACCTGGCGCTTGTAAAACGCTTGCTCGTCGTGGGCACTAGTATAAATGCAAGAAATGCGCGCAAGGTGGGAGAGAGCCTCAGACTTTCTCAATCTCATATTTTTTGCTTAAATTTTTCCAGCATTCTCCCCGAAATGCCAGCCCTTACTTTCTCTTCCTGCTGCAATCTGGTGTGACCGCAGGGAATGCGTCTAAGGTGAGAAAAACCTTGGACTTTAGTAATTTCCTATTTTTCGCTTGAAATTTTTTAAACATTTTATGGTAACTGCTGCCTTTGACAGACCATTCTCCCTGGGCTCTCCTTCTCGTAGTTCTTCTAGTATAATTCTGACTATTTAGAACTGAAAGAAAATAATGAGCAAAACTGCAGTACATCCATGTTGTGTGCTAAAAATCAAAAACTCAAATATCTACAAATAAGAAATATTTCTTAAATATTAGAAAACATGATATAAATTTTAAAAAATGTGAAAAAGATTCTACTCTTTATTTTAGTGGACCCAACTGCACATCGCAGCATACAATGGTCACTTGGACCCTGTAAAACACTTGCTCGCCGTGGGCGCTGATGTGAACGCAACGGATACGCAGAAGGTGAGATAAAAGCTCAGGCCTTCATAATTTGCTATTTTTCGATTGAAATTTCTTTATGAATCTTCCCTCATTGCCGTGTTTTATAGCTCGTCCTCGCCGCTTTTTAATTCTTGAAGTTCCTGTAGTATAATTGTGAAAATTTAAAATTAAGTGAAAATGATTAGCAAAATTGCAACACATCCATATGTGTGCCAACAATGAAAAACCCATACAAGCACAGATGAGAACTATTCCTTAAACATTAGAAATTATTAAAATAAATCTTAAAAAATTTTGAAAAGATTTAACATTTCATTTCAGTGGACGCCATTGCACCTCGCAGCAAACAAAGGTCACCTGGACGTTGTAAAACAATTGCTCGCCGTGGGCGCTGATGTAAACGCGAGGGAAGAAGATCATGTAAGGAGGAATCTAAAGAATTATTTGTTTCGTAATCTCTCGTAAAACTTTTTCTAATGTTTTTCTGCAAGTGCCGTATCAATATTTTTTGCGCACAATCCCAATCCTGTGCTGGATAAGCAACCTTCTCGAAAAATGAAGAAAAACGAATTAAGAAAACTACAGAATCTGCAGATAATGCGCTAAGAACGTGAAACGTTTTTCATACACACTCGGAGATTGTTGTCTGAACGTTAAAAACGCTTCGGGAAGAATTCACAACTGTTTGAAGAGTGCTGCAGATGTTTAGTACTGGTCGAAGAAACAGTTCTGACTCTAACTAAATTTCCAACGAATTAAATGTTTCAAAGTAATTAAACAAAAAAAGAGCTTTTCTTTTGATTTTGCTGGACTTGGCTGGGCACTGCGTCGAAGAACGGCAACTTGGATGCGATAAACTACCTTGAAAACCAGGCGGATAACGTGAATGCAAGAAAGCGAAAAAAGATGAGAAAACTAGCCGAAAAGCCTTCTCTGAGTACATAATACAACGGAAACTGTGATTCGTTTAAGTCTTTCCAAGCTCCAGTTTCCACAGTGCACCTCCAGCGTTTTTCATCTACTACCGAATACGGATACAGAAATTAGGTAGAACACTCTAAAACGTCGAGACACAATGACGAAATGACCCTTGTTAGGACGGGAAATGACCAGCGCTCGCAAACTTTGAAACAGCATTTTGGGTCGCGAATAGAAGCGTGAAAATTGCACATCTTAGATGTCGCAACAGGTCTGAAAGTCCGCGTGTTAACGCATCAGACACCGTTTCGTCTCAAAAAAACCTTCAAAAACAACGCCGTCAGCTTTCCTTTTGAAAGAATACACTACGTACATTCCCTAGGTTACTCCACTGTACACTCCACCTCAGAACGGCCACGTGAGTGTACTGAAGCACATACTTGAGAATAGATGACACCTAACACTAAGTAAAGGTGAAAATTTCAAAGAAACTTTGCAGACTTCTATTTTCCTGTCCTTTACGAAAACGTATTTCCAAATTTTTTTGGGATTCTGAATCTGAACGGTGCACAACCGTCTTGTTCTGTTCTCGCCGCAGTAATGCAATGGTTGACAAGAAATAGAAGAAGATGTGAAAATGATACCACTTTAAGCCCTGTGAAAAAACTGAAAGTTCGGCGATTTCACGCGTCAGAACTATTCTGCAAGAATATTAGAAATTATTAGAATGAATTTTAAAGAATGTGAAAGAGATTCTACTTTTTATTTTAGTGGACTCCACTGCACCTCGCAGCAGAGAACGGCCACTCGGAGGTTGTAGAACAACTGCTCGGAGTGGGCGCTGATGTGAACGCAAGTAATAAGCGAAAGGTAGGAAAAAAGCTCAAATTTTCATAGTTTTTTATTTGTTGCTTAAAAATTCTTAGGTATTCTATTCCAATCGCTGCCTTCCGCAGTCTATCCTCGCTATTATCTCTTTCTTATACTTGTTGTGATATGGTCCTGACGATTCAGAACTGGATGAAAATAATCAGGAAAACAACAGTACATTTATGTCGTGTGCTAAGAATCAGAA